AAAAAAAAAAAAAAAAGACAAAAACCTCCAAAAGTTGTAATGGTCATGTACAGTTGCAAATCTTTCTTCCTAAATTTCACATTGAAGTAGAAGGAACTGGAGATGGTTGTTGTAGCCTTCAAGTCCTAAGGAAACCACATAAGGTCATGCAACAGCCTTTGGAGGTTTCATGCCGAACCCGTGCTTCATCCTCTCAACACTGTCGTAAAATTTCACTTTTAGTGAAGATGGGATTTAAGCGAAAAATGTAGTAAAAGGAAGCACAGAACAAGAAACAAACTAAGAAGTCTATAGTACCCTTCCCACAGCTTTTAAATTTTCCAACAAATTATGCAGAATTTAATTGGTGTTGTCATGTGAAGTCTATATAGCAGCCTGCAGCCTTTTTTCTCTTTCACAAGCAAGAGCTAATAATCATATTCGTTTTTCAAATGTTCGTAATTAATCCTATAGTGTGACAGAAAACATCCAAAATTTAGAAGAGTCCGTGTGTCTACATCTGTAAAAGAAAGTGACCCATTTTACAGCAGTTATGAAAGCATGGTAATAAAGGTGAAATAGAGTTATCCAAAAGAACATGAACTTACGATGGAGCAAGTTTGCCAAGGTTTTCGAGCTCCTCGCCAGTATAATCGTCCAAGACCCGACCAGAAATCTCGATGATGTATGACCGGTCTCTTTCTTTTGGAAGGCCTCTGTTCACGAGTAAATTCAAATCTTTCTGGTTAAGTTCTCTACCGTTTACAAACACCTTCGTGTTCCCATCGGCACAATGTTCTGGCATAGGGTGGTTGAATTCTTCAATAAATGGCTGCAGTAAGAAAGAATAAGAAAGAGAGCGATAGCTTAGTTTGTTAAAATGGACAAAGATCAAAGTTGGTTGGGGACAAAAGAAAAGGTAAAGCTTACAGGGATTATGCCAAGACAAGGACCTCCCATGACACCCCAAAATCCAGCTCGAAAGTCATACCTAGTTGAGGAATGTTAAAATTATTAAAATGGAAGCATTTGCAGTTTACTTGACTTGTAAAAACGAGGATGTCTATGGTAATTTGATTAGTTATGATAAACAAGAAACTCCAATAATTGTTTTAGCCTCAGAAGGTAATAAATGGTTTATTTGCTAATTAATTTGTGTTTTTAAGCTGTCACTCTACTTGTATTTTTCAAGATTTGTTTATCTAATTAGGGAGTACAGGCATGTGACCGTTTCACCGGGAATGTTACTCAGTATCAATAAACTAGCAGAAGAAGAAAGGAACAAGAAGAATAACTCTGTTTCTGTATGTCTCATAATGCTTTTATCCTTACTGAATATCAGACAGTTGTGAATTACAAGAGTTTCAGAAAATAAATAACGAAACCTATTAATAGTACTTAATATGAGTAAATAAAACAACACAACACAACAGTGAGCAGTTCCTCAGAGATTGATAAAGATCAGCAGTCTTGATTTGGCCAAAGAATAAACCCGAAAGTGAAAAAGAGCAAAAGGTAGTAAGTATCAAACACAATATTAGGAGAACGAATAAAACAATCGAATACAATCATCATATCCAAGAAATTTACGCAAGATTTGAAACACATTTATCAAAAGTACCGATCTCGTAAATCAAGATGGAGTTAGAAAACCGTTCTTTACCAACATTTTAGAGCATGATTGACTAAAACACTGGCTAACTTCCATTATAAGAACCTTCATACTGAAAATTCTCTCTTCAAATAAAAAAATAAATCATAATTTTGTGAATTAAGCATGTAGCCCCACACATATCATAAGAAATCTAGTCTAAAGACCAAATTTTCACCAGCACATTTTATAGTCACCAATCATAATGTAAG